TCTGGCCTTCGACTAGGCCACTGCAGGCTTTCATTTTTTTTTTTTTTTTAATTCTCTGTATAAGTCGCTGGAGTCCTCCAGCCTCAGAAATGGCTTTACAACCCATTTCCCAAACTGACAGATATCCGTTAGATGTTTCAGCCTACTTCATGTTGTTAGACAGGTTCTCTTACGGTGTTTTTATTTTAATTATACTTGACAAAGTCAGGTCTGACTAGTTAAACCCCAAAAACACAATCAACAACAAAAATGTTGTTGGGTACAGTTAATTCATAGTTTAAAAAGGATGGGAGTTTAAATTCAGGTAAATTTTTTTCTTAAATGAATCACCTTTTAAAAACCACATTTGTGTTAACTCTGATGTTTGTATTGTGTCTAAATTACTTTCTTATAAGTGCATCAAAAAGGCAACAACAGGAGAAATCTGCAAGGGGGCAAATACTTTTTTTTGCAGGACATTGCAGGTGACATTCATTTCTCTAATGGTAAATGCAGTGCTCTTGCCTTATTCAAAAGGCTGAAGCCATATCTGGGACATAAATGAATTACACTGAAGTTGCTGCTTAAGTAGAGGCCAGAGTGTGAGTGGAACCCCATCCACCCTCCCTCTTCACTCAAAAGGAGATGTCATCTCAGTGTGGTGTCAGTCCACAGCAAATAATCCGATTTGGGGAGTGTGCAGGGGGGGCAATCTGCCTGTAATGCATCAGCAACTGGAAAGGCTCCCAGCATACCCGCCTCGCCGCCCCCAAACCCTGCGGGCCACGAGCGCGAGCATTCGAGGGATTGCGGCGTGTGCGAACGTTTTGCAAACGTGAAAGTGCTTCCTTCAGTGGAAATTCAAAGAAAATGGAGTTGGTGTCAAGGACGGAGATACACATGTTAGCAATATGTTGCACATCGCCTCTCGTAGATCCTGTTGTCTGCAGAGACGACATATTTGCGGGGCTCACATGTTGATGCTAATCCGGTGTGATTTGAATAAGTGTCCAACGTTTGGCCACGTTTCAAAGAAAGTTATCTTCAAACAGTTTGCATGGAGTAATTCAAGCAAGTTAAGCACCATTACTTGAATGGCTTTTATGAATCAAGTCATAAAGTGAAACCTTTTGCTTTGTTTGAGCTGCGTGTCGATGACGAGCTGCTCGAAAAGCACACCCACTGCATGTATTGGTTTTGGATCTGGCATTTGTTCAGGGAAGAAATCACATTTATCTGTGAGCCAGACTGAATGATGCACATTTTCTGTTGTTATAGAAAGACACTGAGCATTGGTGATCTTGACAATCACCAATGTTTCGACCTACATTTCATTTCTATGTGTGGACTCAACTGCTGAAAAGATTAAAAAATAAATGGATGGCCCTATTACCTTTTTTCTGCTCTTGGTGATACAGCCAATGAGTGACAAGGAAAACAAACTGGGCTTCTGGATTGGCTGCTTTGCCAATGCCGCTAATAGGGAATCAAGCTGCTTTGCGCCCAGGTATTAGTTATCCAAATGTTACTTTCCACTGAAAGATCCATGAATAGATGAAACTGCAAATACTGAACCAACCATTGGGATTCCACTGTATTTTTTTAGGAAAGTATTTTCTCCATGCTGGATAAATATACTCATATTAAAGGTTTTTTTGTTCTCAAATGTTCAAACGGAAGACAAATCTATCTAAAGCTGTTCAAATACCTTCGGGTTTCAGTAAGAATAAACAGAGCTGCGCTTCCAATACTATCTCATTATTGTGAGTGAAAACATTTGGACACAACACGATAATCAACGACTACTTACAATATGCTACGTGCCCGTCACTTTCTGTGAAGCTTTTTGTCTAAACGTATAGCTTTTTTTTTTTTTTCCCCCCGAGACAAAATTTATCTTAAAAACCTGGAACTTCTTGGGAGCTTCATCTTTGATAGCATCATCAAAAACAATATATATATATATATATATATATATATATATATATATATATATATATATATATATATATATATATATATATATATATATTATGATTAAAAATGATTAAAAAGTGCTGGGAAAATTCTGTCACACCGCAGCAGGGAAGCTTAAGGGAAGTTATGAGAAGAACCTCAGTTACTTTATCTGTGCCCCCTGAATATCCCAACTAAATGTCAAGATCACAGAGTCCCTCTGGAGCTAAAGGGGAAGATATCAAAAGGCTCCTTTTGTTGCTTCATGTTCTACTAAATAACCCGTCTTTCTCATCACTCTCCGTCTGTCCGTCTCGTGTTTTTTTGCTTCGGCCTTTAAGTTCGCCTTTCATTGTGCGGCCGCCTCACCCCGCTCTTTAAGTTCAAAGCTGCAGCCATGGCTGTGAGACTCTGCTGTATTTGAACACATCGATTAGCTGCAGCTTATTATTTGCCCTACAGATGCTTTCGCCACACTGTAGACCAGTGCTTCTCAATCCCAGTCCTCGGGGCCCCCTGCTCTGCATGTTCTAGATGTGCCTCTATTCCAGAACAGCCAATTCAAATGACTGCATGACCATCAAGTACGCTAGAAACCTGTTAATCACCCACAGGTTCAATCCAGGTGTGTGGCAGAAGGGAAACGCCTAACACATGCAGGGCAGGGGGGCCTGAGGACCGGAATTGAGAAACGCTGCTGTAGACTAACAGAAAAGTATCTCCTGACAAAGCTGTTATTGTGAATTACAAATCTGTTAGTGAAAGGTTCTCTGAAATAAATAAAAACTCTGCTCCGGTGGTTTGATCTGCCAGTTTTCTCCTTGGCTAAAAACACGGCATGTGCCCCACACCAAGACGGCACAGCAAAAGTTGCCTTGGACAGCACAGTATCATTAAAGACGTATCAGGAAGGACAGGAAAATATGCAAATCAGAGCACTTAGAGCCACCAACATCAAAGCGCCCACAAATGAAGCCAGCCACAAATAGAACAAAAGCATTAGTTGCAATAAGACTTGGCCTCGGGGCGAAGCGAGGGCACAAACGCTTGTTGTTGATTCTTGTGGCGATAAGGCTTGCTTTAGCATCACCACTGCCTATGTACATATACCAGTGGAGTGGATTTAATCGCACTAATTAGAATGCACTCAAGGCAAAATGCAACATCTACTGGAATAATCTGAGAGAAAAGATCTCCAGTCCAATTTATTCTCCTGCTCTTGGTTTCCGGAGGGGAGGGTTGAGCGGAGGATCTGTTTTTGGTAAAACGACTGAGCGGCTGGTGTCTGGTGGTTGGGTGCATGTGTCACTTTGGACTGGTTGCCATTTCGAGGACAAGCTGCAGGGAGGCCACTCATAGGGAGTCAGTGTGTGTGTGTGTAATAAAAAAAAAGGTGCAGTCGCCCAGACAGAGTGAATAAGAGCCTTAGCAACAGCAACATATAGCTTGGATATGGTGCTGGTTATCAGTGTGAGGATTTCATTAAGCTCTGGTTTCAAATCCATTAAAATTACCCATAATATTGTTACTACAATTTAAAGTCATTTAAGCAAAATGAGCTTCGGTGTTCTTGCTCTAACAATGTGGCACAGAATAGCTGGAGCCTCCCCGCTGACACCGTTTGTCAGCTGGCTGAAAGGAGCTTCTGATGCTTTTTCGTCTAGTTTGAACAATGTTGGAAATACGGAAGCAGCAAGCAGGACACTACAGGATGACCACCGAAGCAGAAATCCTGACTGATTAAATTTCCTCATATAGGCCTTTGGAAACTACTACCACATTTAGCATGACTTTATATTGAGTCTATGAATAAAAACCAAAATATTAAAAACAATAAAATGCTAATTATGGACAATCAGCATCAAGACATTAAAAGGTTTCAAAAACTGCAGAGAAACTGACCAGAGTCTCTTTTTTGCTATGCTGCACAGATTGAGGCCCAAACGTCGCTGTGCACTGCCACTCAGCTGGCTGATAAAGGCAAGTATGCCTTTCATTTGATCATGAGAGACGTTAGAACTATTTCTGGTCACAGAAATCAATCATATCTTGTTATATTTTTTAGTATATATATATGTATTTGTTTTTTTCTTGTAAAGAGAATGATACTGTGATACCCTGCTATTTTTAACCCAAGATGCCACGAGAATATCATCGTATTTTAACACAACCTGACTACAAACATGCAAACGAAGCAGATATCCTGACTAATTACCCAGCTAATATCAACTCAGTATATGCTCTGTTTGGTAGTGATAGCGCTTAAGGTGTCATTTTCTGCGCAATAAGCATTTGATATCTACAAAATGTTGTGCTGTTTCCCCCCCCCAACTTTTGCAAAAGATGCAAATAGCATCAAATATGATGCTGAAAGGCTGCACGGTGGTCCAGTTAGCACCGTAGGGTTCTGTGTACAGAACCCTACAATCAAAGAATCAGCTGTTATGGACAGTTCCCTGGACTTCACTTAAGAGGAAAAGAGATTGGGCTTTTCCTCTTGTTGCTCCTACTCTATGGAACAATTTGCCTTTCCAGATTAGATCTGCCAACAGCCTAGATCATTTCAAAACGCTTCCCAAAACTCTTTTTTATTCTTTGGCATTTATTTGAAGTAGTGTTTGATACTCTGTTTTTTTTATCAATTTGTGTTGTTGTCATTTTTGTATAGCACTTTGGTGCAGTTTTACACCTGCTTTTAAAGTGCTATATGAATAAACATGACACCTCACAGTAAGAGGATCCTTGGTCTTTCTGCACAGAGTTTGGATATAAGGTTCATAACGTTAGGTTATGATCACTAAAATGTCACTTAGGAGTGCGTAAGTGTGTTGATTATGAAGTTAACACCACATAATCGATATTTTGGGTTATATTTTGCAGCAAAAACAGGAATGAGTAGAATAACTCTCATTTTTTGAACATAAATAAAAGAAATTACATGGTGTTTAGTGCTCAGTTTTTATTCAAGCTGCGTAGGTTTTGATTTCGAAACAGCTGTGTTTTAACTCTGAGTCATGATACCGGCCCACGGCCGCATATGGGAGCAGCGGAGCTCCGAAGCGTACCTGTAGGAGGGATCATGCCAGGGGACATGAGTCCAGGCACCGAGTGGGGCATGATGTGGGGGTTCTCTGGTGACGTCACGCTCTGGGTCCTCTTCGGAGGCCGTCCGGGTCTGGAGCTGCAGACAGAGGAGAGAAAAGTTCAACTTGTGAGAGACGAAGAAGAGGAGGACGGGGGGTGGAGTGGCGGTGGTGATGGTGGGCGGAGGGTAGTGTTAACATTTGTAGCTTACCGGAATGCAATTCCATTCCAAAGAGCTAACATGTACTGTAAATAAATTTCTTTTTCAAGGACAGTTGCTTTCTGCAGCTCAACATAATAGACTTCCATAACTAATTAGATTACACGCTGAATTCATTTCCTTTCTTGAAGATCAACCACTTTTTGATGCATAATTCATAACCTTCACCTCGTTACCTGTTCCCCCATATTAATATCCCCACACTATTTGAATTGCCTCGTTTGCATATGCTAAAATCCAGCGCTCGGCCCTCGGCCTGGAAATTACATGTTAACTTGTTATAATTATTGCAGTCAGGCCACTATTGATTTATGAGACTTTTAAAAACCAAATATGTGTAGTTCTGGTAATGAATGATATTTTAAGGTTCTTCAGGAAATTAAAAGGCAATGGCTGCCTTAGGAAATGTTCTGCTTGCTTGATTTAATGCATGCCTTAGCTGGAAGGTGGTGTGACAGAGTGATTCAGACCTGTTGGACGGTTCTGATGGGGGAGTTTTATTACACCAAACGAGGGGCACAGATCCAGCAGTGATAAATGACTGTGCCACCTCGCTGTGGAGAAGAAAAAGGCCTTCAAAGCAGATACACCCTTGACTTTCTTCACATCTTACTCATTCGCTTATTAATACAGCTTCGAGTTTCAATCAATACCTACTTTGCTGGCTTATAGTTGCAAAGAAAAGCCTACAGGGTAAAGGAAACACACACACACACACACACATACTGGGACCATGTGAGGGACTAAGATCCTGTAGAGGCATATTCTTTATGAAGCACTGGCTGTGCGTCTCAGCTGAAGATGAATTATGGTGACTTGACACAGGTGACATATTGGCTTCATACATTATTTCACATAGTAGTCCATTTCAAGCTTTTGCGAGATACAAAGTTCCGTCTTAAATGACTTGAGTCTATCTTTAAAACACAATATGATCTCTGTAGCATGCTGTAAATAGCCAAAATGATCAAACAAGAAGAAGAGGGTTTTTTTTTTGTTCTTTTTTATTGACCGAATTTCAACTTTTACATACCAGAACTATACATTTTGTCTTCTTCAGTTGCAACAAAGATTTTGCCTGGATTTTTTATTTTCTTTTAAGTGAAATGACACATCGAGTGCAGGGGTCTTCAAAGTGTGACCAAGGTGTCTTTTTTTTTTTTGTGGCTTTCAATTGTAGGTCCAAAATGATAAAAATTGATCAGTGCGAAATTATTGCAAAAATTTTTAATCTTCCTTTAATGGAAAATGTAAGCCACGGCACATGAACATTAGCCAAGCATTCAGCTTTCACTTTTATTTCACAATTAACAGAACCACGACAACCCAGTAACCTGGGTGGACCCATAATTCACTTTCAGCTAATGCAGCTATTTACAAATCTGCTTTTACGTAATTTAATACACTTGCCTAAAAGTAACAACCACCAATGAAACAGTGACCAAAATCCTGTCCTTACTGATGAAAATATTTCTTCTTCTAGTTTCTTTTTAATCTAAGCCCATAAGAATTGCAAATGGCCTATGTTTTAGTTGGGGCAACATACAAAATTAATTATTTATTTTAATTTTTAATTGTGGAGTTTCTGTTGAGTTAATCTGCTGTGTCCTTGAGCCACCACAAGGGTGGGCTGAGTCCTCAGCAGCCCCTAGTCCCATGCTAATGCTAATGCAAGTATTTACATGTTTTGCGGCTTATCTGACCAGTGACCATTGCTGGAAACTTTAACACATCTGCTCTGATAATAACTGACCCAGCAGACGTGTCCGTCTGTCAGAATTGCTCCTCCACCCTCCGCTCCTTGGATTTGTAAAAAAAATAAAAATACAAGTTGGGTTTTCCAATCCAACAAAAATGAGCTCCTCTTATCTAACTGTAAACTGTTATTCCAGACTTTATCAGCCAGTACAATATATGAGGCTGTTTGTGTTACAGTACATTTCCCTACATTTCCCAAAGGCGGTATCTGAAGACAGACGCAGTGGCTTTAGTAGCAGCCTTAGTGGTTGAATTTATTCAGCCATGTCTTGTGAGGTTTATTTACCTCACCAGTGCTAATAGAGTGCACTCACGCTGTCTGTCTGAATATGCTGACTCTTTCATATACACACTGGCTCTGGAGGTTTTAGGGCTAAAAGCAGACTTTCACCCAACTGTGTCCCCTTTTGGAGGGGAAACATAAGAGACAGAAAGAAGTATCAAGAGGGGGAGCGAATGACAGTAAAGGGAGGAGGGCGGCTGGGGAGACAGAAGGGAGGAGAAGGGGAGAAAGAGAAATGAGCACTCGTTCACCCTACGAAGGTCTGGAATCGGTATTCCTATTCCTATAGAAGCACCTCTTTGATCTTATGAGAGGGCAAAATCGCAGACAGTTTTGCTGTCATCACTTTCACTTGTACTCTGGCTGAATTATTTATAAAAGAACTCAATAGAGGGTATAGGAGGGGCAAAACGCTTTTTCACTAACAATACTAAAGGCAAAGAAAAAAAAAATGCTCTCAAATGGACAAAAAGAGATGTCACATCAACCTTAGATCATGTCAAAGCTCCGTCACAAAGCCCCAGTTAAGTACACCTAATGTTTAGATAGTCTGCCAGAAAATATGTCCGTGTGCTTAAAGGGGGATAGCATTTCAACCACTCTCTCCAAACAAATAACACTGGCCGGCCATAAAAGCAATACAGAAACTGAAACGCTTTGAACTGAGGAACCTCCAAGCAACAGGAAGGGCTCTCAGGAATAATATCACTGTCTCCTTTCCTTACGGCTGAGTGGGCGTCTGTATTTGCAGAAATAGCAAACAATTTGTTGAAGAACGGAGACAGAATAATACCCACTGATTTGCTTAATATTTCAATCTTCCAGTCTCCCAGTTCTGTACAATGTTCCTCAACAAAGGCAAGACATTTGAGTATATCTTTTTTTAGATATGTTTTCCTTTTTGAGCTGTGCCAAACTTTTGATGTGAAACTGGTGCTGGTTTTCTTCGCTTTAGATTTTAAATCTGATCCCAAAAAAAATCCAAATGGGGTTCTTCAAGGCTCTATATACTCAGGTCACTTTTATTCTGTACATGCTCAATCAAGCCCATGGTAATATCTGAGTCTGATATTAGTTCAGATAATATCAGTTTCAACTCATTGGCATGAGTTTAGTCTCATTCTGATGAGACTAAACTTTGTATCTTTGTGTCAACATATGACCACAGTTCTTTCTAGCTGCAAAATCAGTGTTTCTGATATAAATGAATGGAAGAGGACACATTTTTTTGGGCCAGATTACAGATTTTACCAAATATAATTTCTGTTCAATTCAACAAAAGTAGGAGAATTAGGACACCTCTCTTTAAAACCGAGAAACTAGCATGTGCTCCTTGCCAGAGTCCTGACCAAGATCAGGATCACACCAGTCCTTATAGTATTGGACTGGCTTCCTGTTGGTGAAAAGATAGATTTTTAAACCATATCAGTAGTCTGTAAGGTACTGGACTTTAATTGGCTTAAATACAAATCAGAGTTGCTTCATTCACAAGTGAGCTATTCTGTCAAAGTTCTCAGAAGCAAAGTAAAATGAGCTTGAGCATTTAGCATTTACGCTCCCCAGGACCGGAAGCAACTTAATCAAAAAAACAACAAACACTATGTTTACTCATATGTGAATTGTGCTAAAATCATTACAGCAGCCTTGCTTTAGGCTGCCTTAAGTCACGCAATTTAACACCCCAACCAAAGCTACGCATGCTAACGCCTGAAGAGATGGTGGACAGTGAGAGCCATCCAGGCTAATGTGCTGGGTCCAGAGAGGAACTCAACCTGGCCTAAAACAAAACAGCCAGGCTATTTATCAAGCAGCAGATGCTGATTCCTTAAATAGCCTGGCACAGAAACTGCTCCAAACTAGGCCATTATTGCAGAAAAAAAGACAGCACAACTGGATTTATCACTGGGATTTTGGTTCCTTTCCTATCAGCTGCTTTACTTTCTAATCTGTTTAGCCTGTTTTAAAATGTTTCACCCAAAAGAAAAAAACTGTCTACATTTCACTTTGGGCTTGTTCAGACAATAATATTTCTGTTCCGGGGGATCAGTCACGGAAGAATTTTATTTCATCTTTTATTTATATTTATACTAAAGACATTTGGGCCCCTCATAGCTCTGGCTTCAATTAAGGAAACAAAATAGGCCCCCGTCAGCTTTGGGCCGGGGCCACAAATATGTTACACATCCATTCTCTGCCTTTCTTGTTTTGCTGCTATGGTGAAAAGAAAATAGCGGTGAACTTTCCCTGAACCAGACTTCCTTTAATGGCCCCGGCCGTGTGTTGACCCAGCAGAGTCGGCTGGAACCTGATACTATCCAGCTCACTACGCCCGCACGGGCAATCAGATTACATGGGGCCCAACAATACACTCCACACGAGTCCAATTTCAAGCGCTACAATGCAATGCAATAAAAGCGCGATAATTGAATTCACGTTCTCACCCCCGTTTACAGGAAGCCGACACAATGCGATGGGCATAACAAGAGAGGGCGATAACGCATTAGACATCGGGATAGTTCTGATCTCTTGGTGGGATTCTGATGACTCACTTTCGTCCGTCCTTTTTTTTTTTTTTTTTGTTTTGTGTTTTTTTCCCCCGACAACGGAAGTACCGACTGAGCTCTTATTACCCAGAACGCTGTTAATGCAGTGATTATGATCTGTTATAAATCAATTGAAACCACAAAAGTAATGTTAAGCCCAAGTGAGCACACTCCCTTAGTGGATTTGGTTACACAGAAAGAAAGAGGGGAAAAAAAAAAAATCATCTGCTCTTCCCATCTTGGGATATCTTCAGGAATTCAGCCCGATAATGTCCTCTGTGGCTCCGGCTTGT